TGTGTGGGTAAGACAAATGCATCAGTGGCTTCCATCAACTATGAGTGTGGGTCGTGGGTGAATGGCATGCAAGAATTAAGAGTGGCACCAGGGTCCCAAGTCGGATAAGGAACATCATTAGCCATCAACAGAAGACCTTGCTTTGAGGTTCCATGTGGCCGTGCTCACAGGTTGCTGCAACCTCAGGCAATTAGGTTGCAATGCATGGTTTTGCTCTATTGAAACTGGTGTGGGAGAGACAATTCCTAAGCTACAGAAGGACAAGACCCAGTAGGTCAGAAGAGTCCTACATAACATTTGGGGCAGTCTATCCCCATGTGCAAGGCTGCCTTCTTTGAGTCCAGGGTGTTCAATTTGGCAGCGAACCACTTTCTAAATGGAGATTTTAGAAGACTCTTCATGGAGCCTTCAAATGAGAAATGAGAATCCAAGTGTCGAAAATACAGATTTATTCTTAGGAAGTGAATTTACACGATGATTTAAGCAAGTGCTGTATTATCTTTGATAGAAATTGGAGGTGGTTAAAACAGACCACAAACTAGGAAAGGAAAACATAAGCTGCTTCCATAGCTCTGGGGTCTGGCAGGTATGATCTTCTTTGTTCTTTAGCCCAGGAAAGTATTCAGATCTGACTACTTAGGAGAAAAAGGAAGTGCTCTGGTCGATTTCTTCCCAGATTTCTAATCCTCTGACAGTTCTTTCCTTTATAGTTAAGAGCTAGCCCTGGGCAACTGCACAGGTACAGCAAGGGCAGGGATGGAGGGTCAAACACAGAGGTATTACCTCAGTGTCTCCTCAGCACGCATGAGCAAAGCCTTCCTTGGGACCACTCCCAGAGAGGTGACCGAATCAGAGCTCTGAGCAGTCTCTGCCTGAGGTCCCACATACAGCTTCTCACAACAGGGAGGAAGTGTGCTTCTTCAGCAATGTCCCACCAGGCTCACGTCACCCAGTGTGACACCCACAAAGAGTCTTCTCCTAAGAGCATTTTGTTCTCTCTCAGTGCCGTCTTAGGGTGCCAGAAGAGGAGATTTGTTGAGACCTGTGGGAGCTGACAGCTGCATCACTATTAACAGAATAGTCACTAACTGCCAGTCTGTGTGGGAGGAAGAAACAGAATGGAGAACAGGGTGGAGAGGGGACACGAGAAAGCAGTTTGAGGAAGAAATCAGGGAAAAGTGCATCCAGAAATGAGGCTGCTTGTGGGGCTATTAGCTAACATCACCTATGGAGCTGACCAGAGAGGCCACACACAAGGGGGACCCCATGGAGAGGGAGGTGGAACTCACCTCAGGACACACAGGGAACATAGGTAGAAGGCAAGGGAAGGGAGAAATTGTTACCACGACTTTATGCCATAGATATGCACAGTTTTCTAAAGAATATAAGAATTCCAAAAGGGACTGCTGAGGTCTGTTTATTTCAAGATTATTTGATTCAACTGCACATGGATTCACTGACACTGTGATTCCAGAAGTCTTGTTCTGCCAAACAGACTGGGGAAAGAATTTTGGCTGCTTGGCAGCTGACTGAAGCAATTTAGGTCAAAGGAGCAAACAGTATGGAGAATCTGTACCTTGCCAGCACATGTCTCTCTGTGTGCACTTCTATGCCCATGGTCGTTCTTCTATGCCCACCACCTATAACACTGCAATGACTCTCAATAGCCCTGAAGCCAGGGGTTGTATCCAATTTATCACTGTGACCCCTGCCTGGCCAGGGAAGACTAATCATTTATGTAGAGTACAAATGAATGAAAGAACAAGACATTTTCTTTCTAATTCTAGCTTGAGGAGTTTGGATCTGCTTTTGTAAGTATGAAGAAATAAGGGGCTATATTACAGTGCACTCAGAAACAAATGATTTTCTCCTTTAAGAATGAACAGAGACCAATAATAATATTGCCCTGCTGTCCCTTAGTTATTGTTCTGCCAAGTCGCCCAATTTGCTAACTGACTCCATTAAAGACCTTAATTTAATTAAATCTTGAGCAAGGCTCAGAAGACCTATGGAGGGCACTTGGTTTAATTGCAGGCAGGGGACAAGCACCAGTTTCATTGATCTCGTCAACGTCTAAGCAATGAAGATGAGCAAAGGGAAAATATATGGCCCAAATTGCTTTCCAGGCAACATTGATGAATTGTGAGCTCAGAGCTGCAACAGAGACAGAAAGGCAAAACAGCCATAGATTATGCACACTCAAAGAGACCAGAAGGAAATTAAACCCTATTCCCTCTCAAAGACTAAGACCAGGCAAACATTAGACCACAAGAGACAGACCCCTCTCTTTGGGAAAATGACATGCGCTGGGTGATGTGGGCTGGACGTCTTCCAGTATTTAAAGTCTAAAAAAAAAAAAAAAACCCTAACATTCAAAAGCATTTAGAAAATTATTTAAGATTCACAATTGTCTAGAAGTGAAGTTAACCCAATTCCAGGGTAAATACGTTTGAAGAAATAATCCTTCAAACTTTGCTGTTTGGAGATAAATGAGGTGCACGTTATATAAATTATGACAAAAGGCACAAACAAAAGGGTAAAAACTGATACAAATTTTGACTGAAATGTGTATGTGCTCACATGTGCAGATATTTACCCTGAATTGTCATTGTCAGGGTTAGAGATATTCAAACACCAAAGGCGTCTTATGATAAAGAGAAGATGTAAAGGAAAACCTTCCATATCACTCAATCTCGATTTCATTTAAAACACCTGCCGCTTGTTTTCAAGCGTTTACTGCATGCTGACCACAATGTAGTTTACTCCGGGAGTGGTATTTAATCATCCTGCACCCGTATCATCATCATCTTCATGATGAAGCAAACAGGCCCTGACATGTCAGGGATCTTGCCAAAGACTCACAAGCACCTTTGTAGGTCAGATTGTGATTCCAAGCAGTCTGCTTCTGGGGCTCTTAGTGGTGGCCTAGAGCCAGAAAAAAAAAAAAAAAAAAACTCTGGATGGAGGGGAGACTGACTTTTTTTTTCCTTGTTAGTTACAACCAAGGGCTCTTTACGCTTCACTAACCCATGTTAGAGGGAAAAATCACAATATATGGTTACAGTGAAGGCCAGCATTTCCCTTGCAAAACATGCACCATCAGCACACACTTATTAGACTATCAGTCATAGAGATCGGGAGTGTGACCCAGGAAATTACAGGTGGGGTAGGCCTCCATGCTAAGTCAACTTCGTCAGGATCCCCAGACACAGCCTCTCCTGACTGGGAGGTTTACAGCCCCCACGCGCGTAGGGAGTATCAGATACAGCTGGGTTCTAGAAACACGCTTCTCTGAGTTCAGAGAGATGTTGTCTAGATAGAGGCAGGAGAGTGGCTCCTTAATTATGACATCACCCACAACGAGGGATAGAGCTGACAACCTTTAAAACCAAAACCAGTAATTTATTCCATATCTCCACCCAGTGAAAATTAAGAATATTTACAGACAGAGTATAAACAGAATGGTTGGAAGTAGAGAAAGCTCAGCAGTTACTGCTGGCTTACTGCTCTTCCAGAGGACCAGAGTTCAGCTCCCAGCACCCATGGTTGTAATCCCAACTCTTCTGGCTGACACTACAGGCATTTGTACTCTCTCAAGGGCAAATACTCACATATGAGTACACATATACACACACACCCCTACATAATTAAAATAATAAAAACATCTTTAAAAACCAGAATGATTTACACACGCCAACCTTAATGAAGAACAAGTTACTTCCCAGGTTGAGGAGACACAGCAATGTTAATGGTCCATTAGCCTCCTACAAGCCCCTCATTGAACTCCATGTGCTGAATCACCAGGCAGAGGACAGCTGGGGAGCCACCTCCTGTACTGCCTCAGTTGAGACTGAAAGGAAAGCAAGCTTTGCAATTCAAAGTGAAGTTGAGAAAGGATGGTTTCTGATAGAAGAATTAATTCTTCCATCCTCAGTCCAATCACAGTTGACAGCATCTTTGGAAAAGTTGGTCCAATGCTTCGCTGTTGGAACACCAGCATCTTCAGTGGCAGAAATATGTCCTGTCACTGTAGTTTTCAAACCACTGTGGGTCCTCTTGGGGAGACCAGGGCACCCCTGCCACTCTCTCTCATACACCTGTACACACCCACACATGTGCACACTACAAAAATGCACGTGCATCCCTGCATACACGCAAGTACACAGCCACCCGTAGATGCAAACAGTTATAATAGCTTCTTTGTTTGCTTGTTTTTCAAGACAGAGTTTCTCTGTGTAGCCCTAGCTGTTCTGGAACTAGTGCTGTAGACCAGGCTGGCCTCAAATTCATAGAGATCTGCCTACCTCTGCCTTCCAAGTGCTGGAATTGAAGGTGTGCACCACCACTACCCAGAAAGAAGAGATTTTTATATTATTCAATATAAATGAGAGAAACTACTATACAGTTAAAGAAAAAATGTGGAAAAAATTAAAAGGAAATGTCTATGTTTTCCAATTATGAAAATATCAGACCGTACTTTTTAAAAAAATTATTTTTTTTAATTTTTTCTTTTTTCAAGACAGGGTTTCTTGTAGAAACCCCACAAGACAGGGTTTCTCTGTAGCTTTGGAGCATGTCCCGGAACTAGCTCTTGTAGACCAGGCTGGCCTTGAACTCACAGAAATCCACCTGCCTTTGCCTTCCAAGCGTTGGGATTAAAAGTGTACACCACCACCACCTTCGTCAGACTGTCTTAACAAAATATTTAATTGAGCTAGCAGAAGATGCACATCCCGGAGGAGACTGAGACCTGCAGCCCTGACATAATTCTGCCATCTATGCGTTTAGGATTCCTGAGAAGAGTGTTTTTATCATCTTAGTTCTACCCTAAGGATCCTTGATGAATGATTTCAGAATTGGAATGGCCTAGTGATTACCAAGACCGAGATTCCTTACGATTCCAGGTTCTAGAATCTTTGCCTCAGATGCCCTTGGCTCTGCATGCACACCTGCCCACCTCCCCACGCCCAGGCCGAAGCCAGGACTGTCTGAACACTCACCCTTCTTCGGAGCCTGTCCCGCTCCTCGCGGATGGCGTTCATGGTGGCCTTGGTCCGGTTCAGCTCCTCTTCTTTGCTGCACAGCATGGCCGTCAGGCTTTCATTCTCTTCCCGCAACCCAGCCAGCTCTTTCTCCCACCGGGACCGCTCCTCAGCCAGGTTGGGATACAGGTCCCGACCAAGAACTCCCTCAATCTCCTCCACTGTCTGAAAAACACAGTCAAACATCAAAGCCACGCTAGCGCTCTTGCAGAAAGGGGACAGGAAGGAGCTTGTGAACCCAGGAGTGGGGTGGAGAGCCCCATGTACACAGTGACACCACTTGGTCATTCTCTGCTCAGATTCAGAGGATGCTGTCACTTGCCTGCATCGTAGTTTGTACTACTCAGCAGTCCCCAGAGTTAAGGACAACAAGATCCCCTCTTGGTGCTGAATCTGTGCGTGGTACCCCACACAATGTTGATTTTCCTGTAGGAGCTCCAGAGCTGGTCAATTTGCATAGAGGCAGCAGGCCAGGGAGGGATCCCGATAATGCAGTGACTAACACGAGGTTGCAGGATGTGCACAAAGTCTAATTGCAAGTTTCCTAAATTACAGGCCTTCCGTGAGCCAGCTCAGCAAGGAGGCAGGTCATATCACCAGTCCGCGCTCCGGATGTCACACGGGCATTTGGGTAGTGTGAATGAGTTGCAGCCCCAGGATGGCAAGGACAAAAGTAAAGCATTGGTGACACAGGAAAAGCGTGGGCCCTTGGTGGAGGCTCCTCAGAGAGCAGAGATGCATTTAGCTAATGAAATGGATGTGAACCAAGTAGAAGAAAATCTTAATAGTATTTGGAAAGTTCTTTCAAAATTTCCATTTTAGACACATGACTGAAGGATCGGGAAGACACATACAATTAGGAAGACCATTCTCTGCTTGCTCTGGGAACTACTTGTTCATATTGTCCTTTACAAAGAGCATGGCCCGGCTGGCTTTTAAACAGAAGAGGAAAGGCTGAGCAGAGGGAACACATAGTGATGAGAAACAGAAGATTCCCAACACTAAAGACACAGCAGCGGGTCACCCACGCCAGGTCCCTGAGGAAGACAGGCACCCAAACCTTGTTGCCTCTATCCGCATGTGGTGCCTTGTCCTTCCTTTCAAATCCAGGACAGTCTATTCGGCTCTGCTTTCTCCATAACTAGTTACCAGAAATCTTTGTCCGTCCCAGACGCTGAGGCCAAAGCTAGCCCCCTAGATGTCAAGACAATCAAATCTGGGATTTGGGAGACTCCAGAGAAAGAAGCACCAGTTAGTGACTGCTTCCCCTCATGGCAAATCCTAACACCTATCCACTGCCACAAAGATGAGGAAAAGTGGAAAGAAAGGCAGCTGAACCAGACATGCACTTTATGACTCACCCACAGGCACTACCACCCTCTTGGGCAATCGGAATTCTTCCCGACAGAAACTGGGGGCTGGACTGTCCCTTCATACAGGTTCCCATAAGACATGTCAGTGTGGGTGGCTAGGTCACTAAGCCACAAAGAAGTAAAAGAAAGACACCTGAGGCCCAGGATCAAGAAGGGCCTGCCTTTCCCAATATTCCGAAAGAGGCAAGGCGGTGCACATGCTATGAATTCTTTTTCTCACTCAGTCTTTTCTCAGAAGAAAGAGGGAACATAGGTCAAAGGCATGGTCAAGATCCAGATACACTGGCTGGGAATGGGGTGACTCAGCCAGACCCTTATCCCTCCCTCCTCCAGCAGCACAGACTGCAAGCTCACAAAGATGGGTTCTAGAAACCTTAAATCTGCAAGAAAGCATCTAAGGGCATCTTGCAACACAAGAATACTATATAGCGGCTGGGTGTGATGGTGCATAATCCAGCCCTTGGGAGGCAGAGGCAGGTAGATTTCTATGAATTTAAGACTTCTTGGTCTACAGTTCCAGGTGAGCTGGGGCTACATAATGAGACCCTGTCTCAAAAAGAAAAGGAAAGAAAAATAGTATGGGTGCACCACACTGAAGTGACGTAGTTTAATGCTACTGATGTGATGGTTTCCAAGTAAATCACCCTTTTTAGTGAAAAGCCAATGTTGATCATTGTTGATATGCCCCCCCCCACATAATTTAGCCCAACAAATATTTATAGGGCTCCTGCTTCTAGCTGATGGCTCAATATGATTGTATGACTTTCAGGGACTGATAGGTGTTCAAGAAAGCCTAACGCCAGGAAAGTTGTCTGCACTCTCTCCTCCCTAACCTCAGAAAACCAAGCGGAGGGGGAGGGAGGCCCACCTTAATGGCCAAGTCACAGTGCTCGCTGGCTGTGGTGAGCTGCTCAATGTGCCTGTCCACCTCGGCTACAGAGAGATTACAGCTGCTCTTCTTCCTGCCGCAGACAACACTCTCCAGCCCCGTCAGGACCCTCTGCAGCTCCGAGTTCAGGTCACTGCAGTTATCTGAGAGGGGATGAGGAGAAAATCCATTAAACAGGCAGACTGGCAATGAATGTTCTCAGTTTCTTCTACTAGAAGGGGACCATTTGGGAGCAACGGAAGAACAATGAAGTACGGCATTCCCAAAGTCAGCATCCTCCAGCCCCATTCCACTGGCTGCTGCCCGAGGCTTGCGGCCAATACAAACCTTTAGACTTTGGCCATTTTCTAAATACCTGCGCCACTCAGAATTCTCTTGCCTTTCAATCAAAGGCAACCACATTGAGTTTTGCTAGTAAGAGCAAAGTGCCCCAGAAGGGACTTCAAACTCCCTTGCTCAGCCATTCAGACCAACACCGATTCCAGAAGTTCAATAAAGGTCTCATAACTTCACCGAACAACAACAAAAACTCAGAACAAGCATCACTAATAGATATTAAAAAAACAAAAACTGTAAGAACTATTCCTGTCTTCAAAAAGCTTCAAGTCCCCCTGCTCCTGCCCCCCATACATCACCTGACAATGCTCCACCTATACAATTTAATCCATTTCCTCCACTGGGGAATAACCAACTTCTAACAAGTTATCTATATAAATGTAAACAATTCTAATAATTTTATTTTAACAATCTGGGTTACTATTAAACTTCTGGATTCTAGAGTCTGGTCAGGGAAAGAAAATTATAATATGAGTTAGATACATATTATAAAATAGTTTTTTGTGAACAAAAATCCCTCTAAAAATCAAAAACCATTCTTCTACCTGTTGTTCCAAATCCTGTATATTACCATAACCTCCAATTATTGTAGCAAGTTCTGCAAGAAGGATACTACAGTCTTCCCAAGTGAATCCTTCTCCTAAATCCAGCCTGTGTCCTGAATGCAAGAAGCTGGTATCTTCCCAATCTCCCTTCTGGTTACAGGCTCAATGCACTAACAAGACAACTGCTTTTATTGCTAAGCTTTGGAGCACTTGGAGAAAATGTTCAACATTATAGAAAGTAGATTTCTCAGGACCTTTTAACCAACCTCATTTGACTGCCCACATCTATTAGTTTCCAGAACCTAGAGAACAATCCAGCAGAAGGCTTTTACTCTAACAAAGGTCCCATCCTCTCAAAGTAGCTTCTTCCTATCTCTCCCACCTCTGTGAATGGAGCCCGCCAACGAGCCAGTTACTCAGGTCAACTCTGAGGCAACCTTGATGCCCTTTTGTGTCGCATCTAATTCCAATCCACCTTGTCACTATAACCTCCAAAACTTATCCTTGAACTGAGCAACTGTTCTTACTCTCAGCTGATATCACTGTTCCCCCAAAGCGCCATTCCTTCTCAAGCTGGTTGTTTTAATAACTCCACCCACCTGCTACACTGTAGCTACTCTTTTTAAAGGCAGGCGATGGTACCTTCCTAGGCCAAACTGTTCAATGGCTCCCCCTACCCCTTACCATTAACCTATGATCAGACTCCTTACCATGGTCATTAAAAGCTCTGCATATTGGAGACTCATGTCCTCAGCCCAGGCTGCACCATGGAATTCCTTGGGGAGCATTTATAAAATGCCAATGCCAGGGCCCCACCCCAGACCAATTAAACCACAATTTCTGGGGTGGGGCCTAGATGCCGGAAATGTTTTCAGTTCCTCAGATGGTTCTAATGTGCAGGCTGGTAGAATCCCGAGATTGGCCCTCTGCTCCTCTGTCCTGTTGCTCTTTCCTACTGCCTGGCTTCTCTCTATCCCGAGGAGATGTCCAGCTCTGATCTCTCCCAGATGTTCCTCTACCTACGCTCCTTTCCACTTACCATGCAGTTTCCCCACCAAGGTCCTCCTATCTGGAGCACGGGGATTCCATCTCCCAACTCTGCCTGGTCCCCTTGCCATTGTCCTGCTGTGTTTGCAGGAAACATTACTATCTGATCTAACATGTATGTTCATTATCTTTCCCTTCTAAAAACACATGCTTCTATGAAAGAAGGGACTTTGGTCTTCCTCATCACGGCATCTCAGAATAGAACAGGGTAGGCAATCAAAAGCAATTTAAAAGAGTAAAAAAATCAGCGCTACACAGTTGAGTCAGCACCACAGAGAAACAAGACAGTCAGCACCAGCATACTTTACGTAGGCCTTAAGCTCTTCTTCATTACGCACGGGAGATGCTAACTGTGGGGAGAGGAGATATGCATCACACCAGTTCACCTGGACAGGACAAACAGGGGCTTAGCCCCAAATTGAGGCAAAGGGGTCCAAGCATGGAGCAGCTGCCAACACACAGAGCAGTCTCTGAAAGACCGTTCCCGCTCAGGTGCAGGTTCCCTGGTATCCAGAGCTGGGTGAACACGCATTCCCAGATCTGTGTGTGCGTGACGAAGAGAAAAAGGAGCTTATATTCAGCCACTCCACACTGTGATCACACCGTCCACCGACGGTGTGTGAGTCAGGCTCGATGTGTCTGTCTTCTAAACGGTTCTCCAGAGTAGAGCTACAAGGTGGCGTCCAGGCCCCGAGGAACAGAAGGAAGAGCAGGAGCCGGGTTTGGGCAGCATTTCTCATTGTTGGACAGTGGTTGAGCCCTGACCACAGTCTGGAAGCACAGTTCCTAGATGAACAAGAGACTGTCCTTGATTCCGATAGGCTCACAAAAGCACAATGGCCACACCAAAGTCCTTCTCTCAGGGACCTGCCTGTAGCCTGGAAATGTCCCCAAGAGAGCACAGTGTCACACAGGACAGTCAGAAGAATAATGGGAGAGGGACATTTAAGTGAACATATAGAACCTGATATACTGGTGTCTACTGGTAAACCCAGCCCTGGAGAGGGTGAGGCCATCTTCAGCTATGTTGTGTGTTTGAGGCAGTCTAGAGGACATGAGACCTCACATTTAAATGAATATATTTAAAATAGTCTGTGTCCCTCTGTTCTGAAAGGAGAACTACAAAGTTGTGTACCTGCTAGATGAGGAGCCCCCCAACCCCACCCCAGTCTGTTATTTATACGCACCCCACCAGTTATCTACAGACATGCCACTGAACTCTGCCACTGTGCCCCATCTGGAGACGCAGGGAAGGCAAGGTGGTCTGGCTAGCAGGAACAGATGCGGGGTGCTGGGGGTGAGGCCCCATCACCAAACATCGACCCCTGTGCTTTCACTCATTTATCGGTGCTGCTCCAGACAGGACCAATGGGAGCTGGTAGCATATCCTTCCAAATAGTCACCTATAATAACCACAAACTTCATCTTTTGGCACACTCTCACTCCAGGCAGAAACTGGACCTTCCATCTTCATGCAAAGACATCAACGGTAACATGAAGGGGTTGCAGACAGAGAAGGTCCCTCCGCGAGGTGGTATTCACAGAACAAAGTCAGCACACTTCACAGCTAAGCAAGGCGTCCAATGCTCAGGTCACTAGGGCAAAGCTCCAGTCTCATCAGCTCACAGGAGTCATCGAGACTTGACGACTTTAGCTCAGTCACCCACGTAGGAACCATGACAGAAACTTCCTATGGTCAGGGCCACGTCACCAACTACTACTGCAACCAGAATAGGGCTCTTTGGGCATCCAACCACAAGCCTGCACACTGGTTTCTTAGTTAAGAGCCAGAAAAACCAATAGAGGGCAGATGCATGGGGAATATTAGCTGTGAAATTACTCTGAGAAAGTAAAGGGTTGGCATGCTAATTCCAGGACGAGAATGTGAATGAACCTTAAAAACATCATGTCACATGAAATAAGCCAGGGACAACAATTCTGCTTTTGTGAGATGATTAGAAGAAGCAAATGTGTAGAGACAGAGAGAGCCTGGGAAGGATAAATTAGGCAGTTACTGTTCCATGTGTGCAGGGTTTAGGAAAGAAAAGAAGATAATGGTGATGGTCATAAAACTGTGGGTGCACTTAAAACGTCTGAACTGTTCACTTAAAAATGTTTACCATGATGCATGTGTGTGTTTACATTATACACACACACATACATATAAATATATAAATGACAAAATAATAAATATATTTCAGTATATAAACTTGGAACATAAAAGCTAACAAGTGTGCAGGAAATAGAAAACATCACTTTCAAGTTTATGCTTGGTTCAGAAGGGAGCTGAGGGGCTGTTCATTAAAACTGTCTGGGTTGAGGTGAAGGAACAGAAGAAAAAAAGATCCAGGAAAGCTCAGCAACTGACTTGTTAATACTACAAGCCACACATGCAGCACCTCCGGCAAAGGGCGGCATGGCGGGGACTTCAGCCATGCTAAGCTTCCTATAGAGAAGGTGGAGTGATGGCCTGCTTTACCTCTGCGAGACAGGACACCCTCTGTATCAAAGACAATATCTTTAACATGGCTTGTTTATATCATTCCTTCAAGTAAAAACTAGAGGTAGTTTCTGACAAGTAACTGCAAATAATAATGAAGGAAAAAAACTAGAAGTAGCTTTTGACAAGCCGCTACAAATAACAGCCAAGAGCAGCCAGCAGGACGAGGGGAACCTTTGGAAGCGAACCCACAACAGCACAGCTGCAGGGGCTGATTTTGTCTGTTGAGCCCCGAGCTTTCTGGCCGCCAGAAGAAGAGTGAATTATCTCCTGTCAGTAGGGAGGAAGTATTCCAGCTTCATAAGAGAGACTGTGTGCTTGGCTATAGATCTGCAAGAACTTGGGTACATGGACTTCATCTGTATCGTGACGTGATGTGACTGTCTCTCCACCTGTGTCACGGGTATGCAGGTCTCAAAGTTTCTTTTTATGCCTAAGCATTTGGCCTCTGATATTTAATTTTCTTTAACAGTGAGACAGGACATGGAGGGATAAACAGAACAGACCTTTCTTTGGACTAGAAGATGCAAACCTGCCTATAGTGGCCAATGATGTGTCTAGAGACCTGGCAAGCTTCAGTGTGTCTGGAACTTCCCTTGTTTTAAATTTAAAAGTGGGTTTTGATTCATGGTTATCATCCAAAGTTCATTACAATTTATACTTGGATTTATACAATTTATTCTTGGAATACTGGGTCTGTAATTGCAAGACCCGG